CTCTATTGCTCGGGGCTTCGAATGAATCAAAACTAATATGTTACAGACAATCCGTAGACAAACGGACTATAATCGAAAACTACGACCTCCTTTCGCTGGCAGTTGACGAGATGGTTGATGATGGTATTATTCTCGAAACAGACCCCACGATTATCGTCCAAAGAGTTAGCAAGGCGCCTACGCAAGATGTGGTACAATTGAAGGGTATCGATTTGAGCGAGCAAGGCATGAACAATTTGGCACAATTCGGAAAGGCCAAGTTGGGGGATTGGTTGAGGCAGGGGCTGTGAAGGGCATGAACAACGAAGATCGTGTCATTGTGGATGGGCAACATTATATTTGGTTGGGAGCCATAAAAGGAGTTTAGATCGTACTGGAGTTGGGGCATATCAGATTCCCAGGCATAGGAATAGTGAAATCATAATGGGACGCAGCTTGTTCTATGGAATTGTATCTAGATATAATGAATTTTGGCAGTGATTCTTTATCTTCTATCTTTCAATGACCGTGGCTGCTTTTCGAAGCCTATTCATGACTGCGGCTGCAATATCCCCTTCATCTTTGATGCCTTCGACAAAAATGACATCACATCCTTTTTGATCCAGCTCTCGCAGCGCCGAAAAGAGACCATGGGCGATATCTTTAATTTCACTACCCAGGGCAATTCTCAAACAGTTTGCAACATGCCAGCCTGTCGTCTGACCACTCGAATCTTTGATCCAAGGTTTATGCTTTCTTGCGTAGAGCGCGAACTCGTTTGACTGTAAACCCCCTTCTATGTCTATAGTTCCCTTGTCTTTATCTTCATCTATTTGAATATCATAGCCGGCATAATCTTCACCCCCGCGTCGAAATCTCCAATTCAGAGTAGATATAATGCCAACTGTGGCTGGCTTGTCGGAAGATGAAGAATTGCGCCCAGTGTGTTCCGTCTCTTCAGCTCGTGCTGCTACAATTGAGAGCGCTTCGTCCCCGAAAAGAGGTTCAATGCCGCGCCCATTCTCGCACAATATAACCTTCGCTTTGGGGCTGTAATGTTTGTATTTCATTCCCGGTGCTCTGGGTGCCTTGTCTCCAATTTCACTTTGGTCTTTGTATCCTTTTACTACACCTTCCCAGCCATGACACTCTCGAATCTCGTCGATGCTCACACCACCAGGTCGGAGGACAACTGGAGGATCGCACATGCCATCCACAACTGTACTTTCTACTCCGACCTGGCACGCACCACCGTCGAGTATTATTTCGATCCTACCGTCAAGATCGTGAGACACATGTTGAGCGGTTGTGCAGGAAGGTTTCGTAGAGGCATTCGCAGATGGGGCGGCGAGTGGAACACCAGCGAGTCTTATTAGAGAAAGCGCAAGAGGAGAGCTTGGCATGCGTGCGCCGAATGTTGGTAAACCTGCTGTTACTTCTGGTGCCAATTTGCTTGGGGATGGATTCGGTAAAAGGACAGTCAAGGGACCAGGCCAGAAACGTTTAATTAGTGGCCTGTAGATCTCTGGGATTTCGGAAAAATCAGTATCGACGTTTTGCTTATCGGTCGAGGTCAAGAGACTGCGTAGCATGGTAAGATCGCAAACATGTATAATCAGTGGATTGTCTGAAGGTCGCCCTTTAGCCTTGTATATCCCTTTCACAGCATCGCTTCGCGTCGCATCTGCACCCAATCCATAAACAGTTTCTGTTGGAAAGGCTACAGGTATGCTTTCCGTCTTGAGGTACTCTGCTGCTTCCGCGATAGATTGTAGTCCAGAGAGATCCTTAGGGAGTTCCCATCTCTCGAGGGTTTCTTGATTATTGAATTGCCCAACCTCAGACACATTGACCGGGAGAATGCGAGTTTTAACGGCGTTGCCGTTTACTTCAATAGAAGGCATTTTGATACTAATTCTGAGAAAATTTGAGAGGAGATTTGTAGCGGTTCGTGGAATTCGAAAAGCCAGATTGAAAACGGTAACCTTTAACGTTGTATCCTACGGCTCCTCCTTTTGAATAAACCTTTGAAAAATCCTTGAGATGTCTTGAACATACTTCCTCTTCATTGAATCTTTTCAAAAACTGTGCAAATGCATTTGTCTTCTGAAGAAGTGGTGGTGGGGCAATGACTCAAAATATTTCTTAAGCCTATCTCGCTATCAATTTCTTTTTGCATGCGCAGGGCTGATTCTGAGCTTGATGACGTAAGGTCATTGCACCCATGAGAGTTTCAAGACAACAATGGCACCTGAGCACGTGCGCGTCAATAACCGTTTTTTACCGAACATCTAATGGAGGCATGTGGGAAAATGTTATATCCTCAAAAGATGGACGACATTAACGAAAGGAACGGTGACTCTCATACTATTTTCAAGTGATGTGTTGAGTCTTGAATAATATATGCGCGTCATGATAACCATGACCTAGGCCATGGATCCGGGGAAGGTCACCACATGGAATAAGGTTAGTTTGGTCACGGGATGAAAAGCCATCACTTTCTCCTAATTGATTTGTGCGTACGCACGTGAAGTACAGCAAGTGCTGGACCTCCGAGCATGACTTGTGGTCATCATGACCCAAAACGACATCGGTATGATATTGGGACCTGATCGGAACCTGTCTTCATTTCTTTTTTTGATAGTTCACTTGTTGGAAATTTCCGTAGTTCCAAGGCTTTTGATGTCACCAGTCTCATGATTTAGCCTTTAACCGTTGACGAGAGTAATGTTTTTAACTCCGATGTCAAGTTGTTTCATCTTCTTCCATGCGTGATTGAGATCAGTCGAATGTCAAGAAAGTTTCTTGGCATGTCAAAGTGTGGAGTTGGTAGCGTAAAATAAGCTTTTTGTATGTAAGACGAGACGAGCAAGAGAACCCTATGTCTATTCATGGCAATCACCTGCAAATATATTATCAGCTTGCAATGAACTTCAGAATTGACATCACAGAGATACTTCTGCTCTGAGCGCTCTTTGAAATATATATAAACGATTTCGAAGCCCCAAAAATCACTTTTTAGAAGCCATTCAACTTTAGTGTCTCTAGCATCTTGACCAATTTCTCCCATCCCTTCGTTGAACTAGAGAGTCTAGCCTGTAAGCTAAATTGACCATCTTTTTAGTAGCATACACTGGTCTAGATTCTCACTATATAAAGGTCACACAATTTTGCTCACAAGACTTTCTCTTCTCTTTCGACCTGTATACCTATTTACCTATTCACCTGCCTACTTGCCATCTTCGACGTCAAATCATTGAATAAATCATCTACAAAGATAACAATGCCTTTCCAATTCCTCAAGTCACCGCTCAGCCACAAGAGACACAACTCGGCAATGGTTTACAGAAACCAGTCACTCAATAAATCGGAGGACACCCGTAAGTACCAAGCTTTCTTTCCGACTCAAATCATTTTGATCATCTAGATGTTTGAAACTCCTCTCGTTACTTTGCTTGATTCAAGTGGGCGAGATCAGACGAATTGCATGAAAAACTCTTATGTGATGCTCTGCCGCGGCACTTGAGTTGTACGATATAAACCCAGGTTAGCTGACAAACAGAAGTAGTAGTCACCGATATCTACGAGGGAGACCTTCCCACCAAGGACCCAGACTGTACTGAAAGAATAAGGTGGACGACAACCCCCAAGAAAGACTACACCAATGCCGAGTGTCGCATGTGGATTGCAGCACAGCTTCGGGCCTGTTACGTCTTTCTTCCACGATCCTCGGCCACATCCATTGCCAATAACTTTGTCGGTTCGGGATACAAATTATTCGCAATGGAAAAAGAAGATTGGGTAGAAATACTCGGGTTTCATGGTTACGCCATAAGATTCTTGATTCGAAGAATCTTGTGGAACAAGAGTACAGCCATGAAAGCGGGCTTTTCGGTGGAAGCCATGTATGAAATGAGGGGCGAATATAAGCCAGAGATAGAGTCAGAGGAGGATTTAAATTGGAGCGGGCTATATTCTATTAAGAATGATTCTATTTGAAATTGTCTTCTGTGAAGAATTTTGAATATGGAGTTAATTGGATTTGGAGTTAGTTGGATATGGGAATACCTGGATGTGGATACCCGGGCACGGAGTTATTTGGATCTGGTACTTTATGGATTTGTAATTATTTGTATATATGACAGATTTCTCTTTTTGATACTTAGATCGGAGTATTTTAATACTCAGTTTGGCTAAGTAACTACTGTATGGTATCACATAGAAAACTTGCGTGAAGACATATATGCAAACTAGAATTTCTGTTTCATCGATGCCGTTTCAATTGGAAAGAAAAGAAAGTTGGGATGAACCTTTTCACACCCCTTTTCCTTGAGTGATGACCATGTTGCTTCTCATGACAGTGAGTGCTTGCAGGTTCAATAGATCTAGTATTACATTTGAATTTCAGTGGATGTCGTGAGGTTATTATGGTTTCATCATGGTTAAAAGTCTCAGTTTCTACAGTAGTCCTGAATGTAGCCGATCCCAAAACTCGTATAATGCCTGAAGAAAGCTCAATAGTCGACATGTGTCAAGACTGTCAAGAACCTGGGTGTTTCACTTCCATTAGGAATCGAAAACTTTCGATTGTTAGAGTGTCAGGTGAAATATCGTTTGTAATATTGTAACTCTTGAAGGCGCTTCTTTGCAGAGAGGGGCAACGACTACTCTGTTATTCTGCAGAGTTTTAGATTGGTCGTGATTTTTGGAGAAAATTTCACCGTTGAAGAGAAGGAATAGAGAACTCTTAGCTTGATTTATGATAAAGTTGGCTCCTTCCGATTTCCCTTCTCGTACTTTCCCTCTGAAAGCTACCATATCGCCCCTAATCGAGTACTCTATTCTCTACTATCTCCAATTTCGAATATAAATCAGCAACACTCCATTCTATCATTATGAATCACGGCTAGTCATTTGAAATTCTTTGAGAATTTTACAGCCATTGCGAAATTCACAGTCTCTTACATTTACTTTACTTCACTACTTGACAACGAGCGACTTTTTCTTTACTCAATACGACAATGAATGTCAATACCAATCTGATACAGTTCTCACCTTGGGAAGATGCGATTATACTACTCGCCATCGACTCTATACGTCAGGGGGAATTGCTGATGGATACTAGGGGCATACCGAAGCAAGAAGATCGAGGCATTTGCGGAATTTTGTGTATCATAAGAACATGGACAACATTCATCCACACAGAAAAGTCCACTGACTTGGAATCCATTCGGTTGCGATCCCATCGAATCCGTTATGGTTCCTTGCGCGGTGCGTTTGACTTGGAGTCTGCTTGGACTAGACACTCTGACCTGCAAGCGAATTATGAGGCTCAAATCGATGCTATTTCTGCACTGAACTCCCAGGTTCTACCATTGAAGCCCCAAATGGAGAAGGAAATTCCCATAATTATCTGTCATTCACAATCAGATCCATTGATCGGAGCCAAAAATGAGGAATTTTCTTTGGACAAATCTTATACGGGTGAGGGAACATTGGGTCGATATAAAACACGATTCTTCTTGCCGGATTTTGAGAGTGATATGAAATTCATTGGCATTAATAAAGCACAAGTAATGAGGCGAGACTTGAAAGGCAGGCCAAAGAAAGAATCAAACGAATTTGAACAAAAAGGCCCTAAGAATGTATAAGGCATAACTTCTGGAGAGAAGAAATAGGGAGAAACAAAGAGATTGGAGTTACTCACAGTGACATATTTAAGCATTCAAGTTCAATCACGCCTAGTCGTCTTGAGTGATAAAAAGCTATAAAATAATTACCAGGAAAGTCAAAAGTCTTATTGTGTATAGAATCAATGGGTTTTGGGATCCCCTCATCTTTAAGCCATAAGCGCAATATATGTAGTTCTCACTTAGTATTTAATTCTCTATTCGTTGCGTAAATCATTGTCAGTCAAATAATCGATGCACATGATACTCAGTAGCGACAGAATAATTCTGGTAGATTAATGGTGACTGGATATGGCATGACTATCAATAATGAAGTGAATTCAAGAGTTGTGCGCAACGTTCTGACTCGAAACATACTTAGAATCCTCAATATGATACATGAAACCGTCACCAGAGTCATCAATGAATGGCAATACTGAGCAAAAATACCATATTTGACTCGAAGCCTTGTCATGGTCGTTAAAAATAGAGGTTGAATTGCGTATGAATGGTAGACTCAAGTGACTCTACATCCCCAGCATTAGAATTTGACTCGAAATCAAGCGCTTGGTCAGTCACAATAAGTCAAATCTTGCTTTTTCATGACTCTTATGATATGCAATGGCCATCAGGATCTATGCACAAAATGACTCGCTTCCTCCTCGCTGATTTTCTTTCCTTTCTTTTCTCCATCAGCAAACGACCAAAACCAATAAGTTACCTATCTATCACTTCAGTACACCCGAACAAATCTCACACCCTCCCACACCTTGGAATAATAAAAGCTATCTTTTATTCTCACCATCTTGCTCAGGCCTGCAATCTCCAGACCCTCTTAATATTAATACCATCGCCGAAATCATCACCGAAATCATTCGACGCCTTTGCATCTGATGCATAACCTACAAAGTCTTCAACTGAGATTTGTAGACCAGATAAATCCTCCAATAAAGATCAGATTAGTCTCTGATTCTACCTCATATTTCAATCATACCCGCCCAAAGAACCCTCCACATTCGAAGTGTTTCGACCGTCGTCAGGTTAAGAAATCAGAAAATTCTACTCTAGTCAACCCATTCAGTCAGTCTAATAATTGTTATATCTGCTATCGATTATCCTCCCAAGATGTCTGAAATGCAGCATGAAACGGATCTATCTGGAGTGACACACTTTCCTGAGTTAGATTTCACTTCTAGCATTTTGACTGAAAGCGATGCCACGTTTGGTAAACAACATACCTCGACAACATGGGAATGCGGACTACTTCTTCTGGCTGTAGACTGGTACAGTGGAGGTAAATCTGCGGGATTACCGTGTTTGGCACAATGGGAAGTCGAAAATCGGATTGCAGTTTCAAGTGTCTTCTGTAATTGGGCAGCATTTCTTAATAATGAGAATGAGCTCAACGGACTGGAACCTTCAAGGGTTCTGGCTAATGGTGGGGCATATAGTAAAGCGCAGCTGGTTGCTCTTTGGCACAAGATCACAAAGACTGAATTTCGAGACCATGCCATCGCTACGTTATATCGAAAGATTTTACCACTGAAAGAGAAACTGGAAGTTGAGTTTAAAGTTAAAATATGTTATTTGAAGCATGAAATTCTGCCAGGATGTCTGAACAAAGATCACACCTCACACGTGAATGATGGAACCTTGGGACAATACAAAGTGGAATTTTCAAGATCAATTAAAAATGGCCCTAATGCTGAGCGAATTTGGCAAACTTTAGATGAGAAGAGGAAAGAGAGGGAGAGACTATATGATTTAGTCCTACAACGAACGAATCAAATCATGGAACCAACATTCACATCACACCCACATCCCCTATACCCTGCTTTCCGGGGCGGAACCAAACGCGATCAAGGAAGTAGCAGAATACAAAGGGGGCGCATACGCAAGCCCTGAGTTTCACTTCATCTCCATACAACGCATTGAACCTTTCCCTTGAGGGATCTTACACTCTTTTTCTTTTTCTTTTTCTTTTTCTTTTGTCAAATCAGTTTTTTACTCTGTTCGCTTCGGGAACATTGGCATTCTTTACACTCATTGAGGATTCTTGGCACTTGCCACTTTCTCAATCTCTAGCTATCTAGAATAAATCGTTGCTTTACCCAGATATGTGTTGATGGACTTCCATCATGTTTTTCATGCTCAGGCATGCGAAGTTTGGTGAAATGTGAAATATGAAATGTGATATAGGGATGTGTAATGGTAAAACAAGTTCCGAGAACGAGGAAGTGAGAATTGAAACAGTATGATATCTCTTCCGCGTGTTAATAATATATTATCCATGTGTTTTCACCATTTCCTTCTTTTTCAAAGATACCGTATACGCCCTCCCATTCTATATCCAAACTTTCAATTAGTCACTTATAAATGTAATCCTACTCAATTATCCTCAATACTTAGTCTTCCTGTGTATTCAATTCAATCTTTAAATTGCCCTCACAATACCACCATCAAATATCAATTTTATTATGCTCGAGTCAACAAATTGGACCCATGATTATGAACCCAGGTATCCCCAGTCCCTCATCAGCGTTTCTAATCTACTAACCTTCATCGGCTTTGTGTAGAAATCATCAACACCCGCCGCCTTCGCTATCTCCATATCTGCATCTGAATACGCGGCGGAGAGTGCCACAATACGAGTTGGTGGTAATGGGGTCGGACTAATACTTTGTTGAAGTTTATCGAGCGATCGAATCAGTCGTGTAGATTGGTAGCCGTCGCATATTGGCATACTGATATCTTTGGTTTGTGAGAATATTAGCTAATTGTGGATTATTGGTTTGCATGTATATTGAAGTGGAAGGGGGATACAAAATTAAAGCCAAGAGAAGAGTTCTTCACGTACCCATGAATACAAGATCAAAACCATTGGGCTGATGTCGATATTTCTCGAACGCTACGGCTCCATTTTCCGCGCACGTGATATCGAAATTCAGTTTGCGAAAGTACGCTCTGAGGAGGCGAAGGTTGATAGGATTATCATCGACGCAAAGAATCGTTGGCCGACTTGGATTTAATAGAGTTTGGGAGACATTGATTGACTTTTCAGTAAGTGCTTCCTCTACTACGGGTTTGGTGACGGTTGTCCCAAGTTCTTTTCGGATATCAGCGGTCGGAGAGGGCAAAGGGCTGGTATAGAAGAATTTATGATCGGTAACAGGAGACGGTTTTGGTGATATCTGCTTAGGCGATAGACAGGTGCATAATGTTTTCAACAATTTCCAGGGACCGAACGGTATCGTGAGAGTTTCAAGGGGTATGCCAATAGCCGAGCTCTGTTGGGATGTATGGCTGTGACTTGGAACATATCGTACCACTATTATAAGCGAGGGCTTGGATGCACCATCTTTCGTCAGCTCTGCAAGGAACAAGTCGATTTTTTCTTCAGTGACAAAAGCAATATCAGCAGCATCATCGTCAGGTTCATGATTCATACCAAACCACTGAGTAAGATAGGCGTGCAGGGATTTCTTTAGATGACAAGATGAGCCAGACCGGAAACCGTGAGTTGAGAACTTGGAATATTTGGATTGTTTGAGCAATCTTTTCAATTCTTCGACTTGGTCCTTGAGAAGAGCATCGGAGGGTATGATAGAAGTTAGATTAGATACTGCTTTTTTCAGGGGTAGTTTGACTGTAACAGTTGTTCCGTGACCGATTTGACTTTGAACATCGATAGTTCCGTTATACATCCGCACGAGAGAATACACGATGTGAAGTCCAAGTCCTTTACACAGCACATCAGTATATCGACGAGATTAAAGCAATAGTCGAGTTCTTACCAGTACCCGGTGCCAACGACGACTCCTGAGAAAAGGCTATAAAGAGTTTGCTTTTCAAAAACTCACTAGAGATACCCTTACCACTATCACTGATTCGAAGTACAACTAAGTCATCAGTAGCAATATTTGGTCTCTTTGATATCTTGGCATTGTCATCTTTGGGGGATTCAACAGCCAAAGAAATATCTATAAAGCCGGCCGATGTATACTTGAGACTGTTACCGACCAAATTCATGATGATTCGCTGCAAAGATCCCGGAGAGCAGAAGAAGTGCCAATGGTCAAAGGAAATGTGCAAGGATACAGTGACAGAGTTAGGTTTGCACAGGGTTTTATTCTCTTGCGTTTCTATCGTTCCTGGAGGTTGCATTACTCTGTGTAGAAGCTGTTCCGAATTCGTTTTGTGGTGCATATATGCAACTGCAACAATTGCCACTGAGTCTTCACACATTCTAGCAAGATCTAGGGGTTGAGAAAGTAGATCGTCGCTCGTGAGACTTTCGCCGTTTGTTTGCTGGCAATTGGAAGAATTTCCATTCGTACCTGGGGTTTTCACGCTAACTCTTTTGTGTTTCATCAAATTGTTTAGCTATACGTGTTAGCTTTGTGTGATAGGAGGGCTGACGATTCAGGGGCTCCTCGACCATAAAATTAAGGGAGGAAATCGAGTTCATACCTTGGAATATTCAAGAACATCCATTAGAGTTTCTTGAAGGACTCGTCCACATGTTTCTATTGTCGAGCAGAATTCAAATTGACCATTATCAAGATTCGTCTCGCTTAAAAGCTCTATTGGAGTTGTTAAAAATATATACTGAGTGCTCCAGACAGGATATAAATACCGGCAGATCCCAGAATTCCGTGGAGTGGACTTCTCAATTCCTGTTGACGATAGAATCAATCAGCTTAAATTCGCAAAATTAGATGAACCAATGACTGATTTTACAGGTAGCCGTCGTGATTGACCTGTAGGGTATCCTAGCTAGCGTGTAAATTCAACAAATAAAAATTTGAAATCTTTGAGGCTCGCATTTGAAGGCTCGACCTTAAGCACCTCTTGTGAAGACATATCATACTAGAAATATTTGCAGATGAATAGGATTGGTTTTCTTACATGTGATATGCTTGATATGAAATCTCCTTTTTGACGATCGGCAGCGGCAATGGATATTCGATTATACTCAATAGAAACACTGTTCAGAAACCCACGAACAAATGCCTTTTCAGTATCGGAGGTGAAAATCGCTATGTCCCGTAGAGATACTGCAAAGCATGCCACTATGGGTAATCCAGTCCCTGCCTCAGAGAGTGGAGCAAAGAGAACCTCTCGAGCATCTGGAAAGCACTGCTTCATTATGCTGCGATCAGATTTTCTGACTCGATGATTTTGTTGATGAAGCTGCATAGCGAACATTTGTTTAGATGGTGGTGAGTCATCGTCTTCTGAAGATTCAGAATCATAGCCACTGAATGTCCATACTTTACCTTTAGGGTATCTTCTTGAAAGTCTTTGTAGATCTTTTTCATTTGGCGCTCTGTAGAGTGTACAAGACAGTGTATCTCCATCCAATGACGAACAAGTTGATGTGGAAAAACTTCTAACTTTAGCAGAACCTGCTTCATTACTTCGCCTGTTAAGTGATAAAGGCTGGGCAGATTTATTCAATAAATCGATATCGTTGTCCTGGGGAATATAGGCGGGTGTTGTGGTGAAGTTGTTTGCATCATCTAAAAATGTATCCTCAGGCGATCTAAAATCTCCATTCTCTTCATTTTCGACACTGGTTGAAAAGCCAATACTCATATCGAAGAAAATCGTATAATCGACATCGAGAGATTCTCTCAGTAGATTGGCACCTCGTGAGAGTATTCGATCATGGGTCGCTGGGGCATCAGCCAATGCCAATTGATCTATAGATGTATTAGGTGAGATATCATGTAGCAAGTTTTCCCCAACCAGTGCTTGTGGAGGGCCCACTATATTTTTCAACGACTGCTCGGCGACCGTCACTAAAGATGTGTCAAAGGCAACCAAATTACTTGTTGAGTTAGTATTACCCATTTTCGCTTCATCCGAATGAGAGCCGTTGGCGTCTTGGCACTTGACGACCATATCTGTCGGCAACTGCCGCGGGATCCTGCTTTGACCCTCAACTAGAGCGGCCAATCCTTTGGACATCACATCGTTCCGCCGCAACTGCACACTTTCCCGTTTCATTTCAAGGTATTCCATGACGTTTTTTGCCATTATTCCCAAGAAATCGACCTCCGCTCTCGTGGCTCGCTCACGTGGCCTTGGATCAATGACAAAGACACTTCCAATTGGTATTCCGGTGTTACTGATTAAAGGTGTCCCTGCATAATATCGAAATTTCGGTCCGCCTGCAACATAAGGCAGATTACAGAACCTGGGATCGGCCGATAAATCCGGAACACTGAAACAGGCATAATGATTTGGTTCAGGGATAACTTCTATAGTGTACTAGTCACAAGTTATTAGTGGTGAGCGACAGGTGGTCTGGAAAACTCACCGCACACAAAGCTTCTCTACGAATAGTTCTGGAAAACGTGGCTCTCGTCAGAAAAGGTCCCGAAAGTCTTATTACTGCAAGAGATCTTACCCTCCACAACCCATCCATAAATCATCACCTGGATCATGTTTTGAAGAGTCTGATAAATCCAGTGTTTTTGTTGCTTCCGCGAGAAAATACTGTAGAGGCGTGAGTATACTTCAAAAGTAGTATTGATAGGAGTCACAAATACTTGTGCATTATCATCAACAACAGATACCATCGCTCTTGATGCACCAAGACGCCACGTGATCAATTGCATCAACGCAGTTAGTGTACTATTGGGGCTACTAGCCTTTTCTACAGACCGAACTGTCTCGGGACTCTCGGCCGGTGCGCTTTCACCAGCGATAGGCGGATCATCGGGAGATCTTTTGTAGTAGCGGCGAACCTCGCGAATTCTTTTGCGTTCTGAGGATGACAGCATGTTGAATTAGGTCTCATCAAAGAAAGGGATGAGATCAGTACATATAAGCTTGAAAATACGGGAATGGATAAATCAGTATAAAAACATTTCAGTCTATCATCGGATACTAGAACTGATAATATCTGGGACGGACACACGACTTCTACGCCAATATTTCCGATCTGTGTTGATGAATTTCGACGATAACGTCACACTGGTACAAGGACGCACAGATGAATCTGTTATCGGTAATTGACCGAGAACACGATAGTGAAGGTACCCAGGGTGAACAAGTAGGGATTTATGTTGAAGGCAATATGGTGTTCGAACACTCATGAAAATATTCGGATTGAGGCTTTTAGACACGGAAGCGTGATAGCGAAGCGATGTTCCCAGAGATGCGTAGTGAAGTATTGAGAAACAGATTATATGACAAACTGACGTATTTTAATCACCAAGGTAGATTTGGAGGCTGAATGCAGTGATTTAGGGTAACCTCCTATTGACATCAAAGGATATGTGGATAGATCGGTGAACAATGAGATGAATATATATTAAGAATGTCAATGAGCGTGGTCGTTATTAACATTGCATCGCAAAGGTTTACCGTCCAATAAATCTTGTTTAAATGAATCTCGGTAATGAGCCTAGAACATGGATAAAATTTGGAGCTGGGTGGATATACTGCTTGTCCACTGGACAGCTGAGAACTTGAGGGTAAAGATTTGCGAATCAATCCTTGTCGCAAGCAACAGGGCTGGTATTTCCTTTTGCTCAATCCGTCTCGCGATGCACAGATATCTCTGAACGTCTTCGACTGCAGGATGTTGTGAACTTCGCAACTCGAGTGAACATGGATGGCCAAAAGGAAGTAAAAGAGCATGCCAATGATAGAGCATAAAAGTCTTCACATGTATCCCGTTTGATGCATAAGATATATCTAATTATGCCTCACCTTACTGCATTCGAAACTTCCACGGCTTATAGAGCTGAGCTCGACATTCAGCTGATCATACACCCAGATATATGGTTAAGAGATCTTATACTTAAGTATATGGTTGAGACTGACCAGCAAATCAGCGTGGAAGAGAGGTAGGTAGATGTACCAGTGGGGTCCAAGTCGAAAGTCCTCTTCTCGTGTTCCTGTTCGAGAGTGTACAGGACACAATACTAATTAGTACCTGCGACTTCTTTGCACGATAAAAGTTGTGATAACGTGAGGTTAACCTGTGTTTCCCCATCTTGTTCGCACTTAATATTGAGCTCCTGACGCATCTTGTGTGTACATTCGTGCGGAAGTCACAGTTCCGAGTCATGATACCGCGCCACGGTAAGGTTATCGGGCGATAGAGGAAGAAAAGAGGAATTGAAATACTCCTTTGACAGAAGTTTCTTGTCCAAGAAAGACAGTAAAAGCAATACAACAATTGTGAGGCTTGTCCTCTGTATGCAGCTGGGAAAACTTTATATTGATATCGAAAGATTACCTCGATAAGATACAGTTGACTGATGGCGCTAGTCTGTATTAAGTAAGGCCCGGCAAAACGAGCATTTACCGCCCGCTGACGCGAAACTCAAGCTGCCTAGTAAGCTACCATTATTCAATACCTAGTAACTGGGTATACAACATCAACATTAAATCCATCAGCGACGTCAATCCTACAACTCTGCTTCCGCTGAACTTTTTAAACCTCAAACTCCAATTTGACCTTTGAAAATGGATTCTCTGGTATCACAATACAGCACACCTGCTTACGAGCAGGAAGCACCTCAAGAAGACCAGATGGAGTTATACCAACCAGCTCCTGGCTTATCTTTGAAATTCGCCATGCCTCCTGTCGCACATGTACGTTAGCCTTGCGATTATCTATTCACAGGCTCGGGGTTCTGTTCACTATAAAACATTAATATGCAAAATGCTAATCAATCCATCTTTAGCCATCTGCTTGGCTCCGAGCAGCTACCGATGACCATGCGAACCCAAACTGTCCCATCAAGATCGCACACGGTACCACAACTTTAGCATTCAGATTTCAAGGTGGAATTATTGTAGCGACAGATTCAAGAGCAACGGCAGGCAACTGGATCGCAAGTCAGACTGTTAAGAAGGTCATTGAGATTAACAACTGCTTATTGGGCACAATGGCTGGTGGTGCTGCTGTAAGTTATTAAATTCATCACTGATCTGATCGTTTCACTGGTCGTGACTGAGATTTGAAACCTAGGATTGTCAATACTGGCTCGCATATCTTGGTATGCAATGCAGACTTCACGAACTTCGTCACAAACGCCGCATTTCCGTCGCAGCTGCTTCTAAGATTCTTGCAAACCTCGTTTATAGATACAAGGGTATGGGATTGTCCATGGGAACTATGTGTGCCGGTGTTACCAAGGAAGAAGGACCCGCACTTTACTACATCGATTCCGACGGAACAAGATTGAGTGGGAACCTCTTCTGTGTTGGATCCGGTCAAACCTTCGCATATGGTGTGTTGGATGCCGAATACTCATACGATTTGAGCGAGGAAGCAGCCTTGGAGTTGGGAAGAAGAAGTATTTTGGCTGCCACACACAGGGACGCCTATTCTGGAGGTTTCATCAATTTGTACCATGTCAAGGAAGATGGATGGGTTAAGCACGGATTCAATGATACCAACCCAATATTCTGGAAGACGAAGTTGGAGAAGGGTGAATTTTCTAATGTTACTAGCGAGCTGGTTTAAGATGGCGGCATGATTTAATGAGCGAAGGAAAGATTTCTTTAAAATGTGTCATTAGCATGGACGCAGGAGCATGGTTGGCCTGAGGCCTGAGGCCGTGTATACTATTGCTTCACTCACGAGTTTTATCACCCACGAAGATAATGTCAAGAAGCAAAGAATCTACTCAGTCGCATCGTGAAAATGAAAAATGTTTGTCAATCGCGGGATGTGCTACCTAGAAGGCAAGTGCCACATTCAAAATTGCAGTATCATCCTTAATTGCATCACCTGTTAGAATTCCGGTTGCACTTCATGTAATGGAGGATTTCAACATCATCCAGTGAAGAAGAAACATGATTATTTAATTTAAATAACAAGGTATATAGCACCCCAGAGAAAGCAGACCACACCAGCGAGGGGGCATAACTATTGATTCAACGAAGTTCCAACCATTGCTGCATCGAGCATGGACATTTCCTCGTCAAATCGCTTCGTACTCATTTCCCAAGAACTTTGAGCCACGTTACGCTTTTTGGACAACCCCCACGGGTCCTCCTTGACATCGTATCGAATTTCCCCCCCTCCTCTTTCAACAAGCTCGAAGAAGGCACTGCTCAGAATCCTACGATCCTTGGCAGAGTTGTCGCATTTCCTCTTTGAAGCTCTCTGGTCTACTGCGTTGTCCTGCTGTCCTTTGGAGGTCATGTTGCCTTCATCATCGCGACCTCTCTTGGCCGTAGGTTTTAATGCAAAGAGAGACGAGCCTTTCTTGGGTTGCAGGGCATTGACATCAACGACGTTATGACGGTGCTCTCTGCCTTCGTTTTTGTCATCTCGGCCTCTCTTCGCGTTGCGCTGCTCCTTTCTCTCCACTCTGTGGCCTCGCTCTTCTTCCCTGTCGCTAACTTTTGTTGAGTCGCCCGACTTCAAGGAATTCAAATCGCCTGAGAGAGACTCGGCGGGTGACTAAACATTGGTTAAATTGGATTATTGAGAATGCGAGTCAGGACAAGTAGGAGAAAGAAATACGTTCATAAGCGATGTGTGAAACTTTCGTGTATGAATAGGCGAGAGACAATGTTTGGTTCAAGAGAGGAGATTACTTACCCAATCCATGGTGATGTTCATTGAATCCGTCATTTTGATTCGTTATTAGACGGCAGTTATGCAATTATAACGAGGTTATGAGATTAATACGGTAATGTGGTGTGTAAATAAGATTGAGGATCGTATTGAAAGCTTTGATATTTCTTGGAGAAAGTACGGTAATTGTGAATGTGTCGATTGCTGTCAATGTGATTTACGTCTGAAGAATGTTTCTACGAAGGAGAATTAAAGGTATTTAAGTAAAACCTGGGGAAAACGTCCAGTTCAAAAAGAAATCCCCTAGGGTGGTAATGGTATGAGTAGCTTCTACATTAGCGTAGCCACGAACGAGTTTTAGTTAGCCATTAGACTGGTGCCAAGCGATCTAGTATATTGATAGCCATGATTGTTCTGTCAGAATCTATAAACTAATTTTATTTTGCTGTTAATTTTGGTTGACTGACGTAGAGAGTATGACGTGCATGTTTTAGCTGATGACTGTTGCTAGTATTCTAGGATTATGACAGTAAGGGTGACACATTATGGGATTTTCGCTGCCTGTGAAGATGCAATTTTGTTAATTGTAATCGTCATAGCATATGACCCAAGCTATCATTACAATATTAGAAGATACCAGAAAGTGATACATGCTGGCTCAGTCCTCATGAGCCTGCAATTCATGAAATCTCTGAGCTAATGTAGACCCCAAAAGCGTAATACCTCTTCCAGACTCAACAAAAGTACACATCAAAATTTTGTCTTGAGCATCCCTAGAGATTGCAAATCGGATTTTTCGTCTCCGCGACTTCACTGTTCTTCGCTCCAATGCTGTGTGGGAAATTATTTCCTCCTTACATCCCACCACCGTTCTCTGTCTGACACAACTCGGCTAGCCATATACATTTCAATTTCGTTGTTTGGCTTGTGGATATAAAGTGTATATGGGCGAAGATATTCCGCTATTCTAAGTACAGAATTCTCACTTCCAGTAATAGATGCCCATTATCCAACATTGTAGAGATGGCCAACAGTAAAGAATTCGTCAAACCACAATTTGCCCATGAAAGCTTCAAAGGATTTGGTGACAGGAATCTCCAAGATTAGTCTCGGGTGACCTAATTCTTCCTCTTTCTCTGCTATTTCAGTGAAACGTCAATCAACACTGTGGATCGCAAAAATAAACACATCAACTTTAAGATCTTCTGGCAAGTATTTGAGGTATGTTTCTATTTTCTGGGTAATGTTACTAGGAGAGTCGAGGTAGTAAGTCAGATTAAACCAAAGAACAATGTTCTTGATCTTACGATTTAGTATAGCATTTAGATTCACCTACAGTTACCTCTGTTCATGTGTAGAGACTTGTTTGACAATATCATAAACTGAAGAATCGATGCGCATGAGGTTTGTCATTCACTCAAAATATTTATAGACGAACTTTATGACCACCAATATAACTCCGTATACAATTCATGCCAACATAATGTTAAAGAATCACACGTAACCTTCAAATTAATGACTCCACACAACATAGTCAAGTGAAAAGATGTCATAGAGCCCGCGCACATCATCGTAGGTTCATTGAAGAACTCTGACAATGCATCCTAACTGATTCTCTTTGCAAAACTGGAGAGCTCCAAGGATTTATATCTCCTTGCTCATGGACTGAGAGGTACTGCAGCTTTCTAAAGTCTCTGTAGTACCACAAGGAAAGAGTGTCTCACTGGATCCGTTAAACACGCAGGAAAGATCGAAAGGTTATAGTGCACGTTTAGTACAAGGTGAAATATTCATTGGCTAAAATGAATCTCATGGTCTTTTGTGTGATGATCAAGATTATGCTCCGTTTTTCAGAATTCACTCGACCTTTGTATTACCCACCTGCAAGCGATGACTGTCTTATTGTGAAGCGCCTGAGCGACCTAAGTATTAAGTCCTTCGAAGACCGTTCAACTTGTTCTTCAAAATCCTCTTATTACATCCATCAATAACAACTACGCAACCATGGACACGGAGATTACAAAGAAGCAAGAGTCCGCGGTCGCAAAGACGCCAGCAGAGGGCGGAGAAGAAAGTGAGTTACTAGTTCAGCCTTTGCTTTGATAGAACCTTCTAATCAAGTTTTTCTTTTCTTAGCACTCATACCCGTGATTAGCCATGGTCCAAGGCCTCTTCAATATAAGAGCAAAGTTCCCTATGATTTAATTACTACGGAGATTTCTACTTCGCTTCCTATAATCATCGCAGGGAAAGAATCAAAGAAATACGAAGCGCTAAACTTGGAACGGCATATGATAAGTCTGGTGAAATGGGTGACAGAATTGTTGCCTATCAGAAGTAAGGTGACTTTCAGTTTGAAGTGCTTGTAGCTAATTGATTCCTAGACTAGCTCCGTTCAGATTTATGGATTTGCCTGCCGAAGTGCGAAAAATCATATTTCAATTGATCGCCTCTACATTTCTCTATTTTGACCCTAAATTGAAGGCTCATGTCAAACATATTGCTCTCGGGCGCTATGATCCGTGGATAGTGCACTACCGGTCGTGTTACTCAACGGGATTTGAAGAATTCTTGAAGAAAGAGTATCCCTCAAAACCTCACTTTTCGCCAGAGGAAAAAGCGAAACTGTATACGGAATTTGTCAAGGACGCAAATGATCTTGTGTGGACCTTCAAAGATCACCCGAACAGAAATGAAAATCATTTGCAGGTTGTTGATGTAGAAGAGTCCTTAAACAATAATGAGTATAAATCTCAGGAAATGGTTGATTGGAAGTACCTTGATTGGTTTCGACAATTGGCAAATGTTAGTAGGCAATTCAGGTTGGAGCTGGGTTCTATAATATGGGAGAGATCTAAGATTTACTGTAGGGGTGATAAGAAAGTTTTGGTATTAGGTCAATTCTTGGAAGCAAGTACAGGAATAACGAAAGGAATCAGGGAGCTCGTAGTCTCTGTTTTTCAACTCGTTGAACATTGGGATGATACATGTGTTGAGGATGAATGGGATTACATTATGAATGAAGGTTTACATGGCACGCAGGCGACTTTTTTTCAGAATTTCATGGAAGTGGTTTCACAAAATTTGAACTTGGATTATTTCACGCTAAGTATTGGCGGTCCGAAGAGCTCTATTGTTGACCTCGCTGCAGGGGAAGGTGTGATGAAAGTCTTGACCGAGACTCGAGCGCTCAAAGTGACTAAGGGGTTTCGCGCTGAAATCAGTTCGATTAATCCGGAAAACAATGATGGCAAAGAAAATGCCAGAAAACTCGCCGAGTTCAGAATCGAATGGGAGCCAAAGATCACAGCGGCACTCCTACCTGATGTTTTGCGTCCTCAAACACCGAAAACAGACCGAAATCATTACCTTGAGTCTCGAGCCAAAGAACAAGAGATCGGCGCTATCTATTAGAGAGGATTGCTATTCTATGCTTGGATTGTGGCTGGGAACAAATAAGATTATTGGGTCAAGATGAGGTACAAGTTGGCGGGCTCACTTTGCATTCCATGGAGGGGGGATAGTTTATCTTCTAAACTCAAGTTTTCGGAAGGAGAGAAATATCAGAGTTAGTAATGGCGTTTCGCAAGTATAATTCCCTCTGGAAAGGAATGAATGATTATCTATGAATCTACATCTTATTAAACTGTCTTCAAAGGTTCAATCGATTGTGACACTATGTTTGTATGAACCTGGTAGTCCTTTACCTAGCTCACCTGATGTGATATGATATAAGTAGGTAGTATCTATAAATGAGTGATTGGAGTTTGGAATTGTCTTGGTGCTATACCCAATGACGTTACAACGAGGTGGAAGTGTCTATTTCGATTTCTGGGTGTCTCATATGATTTCATTTGCAGTAGAAAGTCAATATTTGCTTTGTACCTACAGTCTCCGTAGAATGAAGAAAGATGTATGATGGACAACTCCTTCCTCGGTCAATCTATCTAAACTATGATCCATGTATTCTACGTTTCGGATACCATATCAGAGGAAAACTGGCGTGACGGGTGACCCGAGAAACAATCAAATTTCGGGTGATGACATTTACAAAGTCCAAGAATGCTACTACCAAGGCTAACCAACATGCACCATGTGATCTAACAACCCATTGATTGATGATAGGCTCAAAAAGGTTCCTCCCCGAATCGCCTGCGAGTTCGATGCAACATGAATAGGAAATAGTAGTATCTATTGCCCCCCCGCCATCTTCTCCGCATGTCCATCTATGCTTAGGTATATTGAACCAATGAAGCTATAATGCGTCGAGTTTTGCCGCCAGGAACTGTGCTTTGCCGCGTCGAACTAAAAAGGAAACACAAGAAAATATCAGAACATCGCCCGTTTTTCCATTTGCACAGTACTTTCTGTGCTGTATTTCTGCGTCCAAAGACCCTCCCCAATGAACACAATTGAAGCCCTTTTCACAAATTCCAACCTCTCTCCGCATACCAACCTTAAGCGGTAACGCTAACACACGAACCCCCAAAAGTTCCTATTCTGTTCCACCATATTCCCATGCGCCGACCAAAGCTTACTGTTTGAGTAAAAGCTACGGTCAGATATGACAGATCAGTCACCGTGAGAAAAATATTGGCCGTTCAGAGCCTCATCAGAGAGCACTGCTTCAAAGCGCCACCTTGAAGTATATGTTTCCTCGAAAGACATATTTCGGATGTTTGTGGTTAGTGATGTAACACAATCACATCAGAAAATTCGAAAGAGAAGACACATATTTTGGTTGGCGGGTTTGGTTCCTATATCATATATACAGCATCTGGATTAGACTATGATGTGTACAAATTGAGGTCAATGGTGAGAGGAGGCGATTGTCGGTGGGCTTTAACGGTGAGATCGTGAGTCCATTGACACCTTGGGATGGGATTTCCATGGGACAGGTTAAGAAGCAACAAATATATGAACTGAATGACTGCCATACTAATGGTTATAGTAGGTCTTTGTCATCACTTTCTAAGCTCAATATTTGCAATTCTCATCTATTCCCGGCCAAGAAACATCCTCGGGGTATATTCCTGGTCGCAAGTGGCTCCTTGGTTGGAATTGATCTCGGACGCAGGCGTGATGAAGTGTAAGATGGTCTGGGTTCCGATTTTGGGGCAGTCATGTCCTTGTGGATAAAAACTCCGGAAAAGAGCACGACGTTCGAATTTCCAGGGGTAAAGTTATAGTGGTCCCATGGTATAAAGCACAAAAGAACAAAAGAAATACTGCACATGGAAATATGCATCCGAGAAATCTATGGAATGTGGATCCATTTGCAGAATGTTTCTATCGGCTTGGAATCCAACTGAAAAACGTATATATCTCAGGACATCCACAGCTCTGGGGCTTTAGGGCTGAATTCGGCAGTAGAGAATCTGGACAAACTGACATAGTGAGCTCTGGTAACCTCTTGCTGCATATAAACGGATTGTTCATTATATGTGGTCGCTGAATTCCGACCCGATTTTTGAGTGGTGGCCTATCAACGAATCATCTGAAGCCTCCAGGGAGTTTGTGAGATTATCCTGTGAGTGGAACCTCAAGTTATCCAGGAATTGAATGGATTCACGATTATCCTCTCGAAAGTGGGACAGAAGTCTGGCGCCTACCAACCTTGCGGTCGCATTACCTTCATCTAAATCAATATCACTGGGAGTTGTGCTTATGATTGAAGTAGGACGACCCATGAATGCAACCTCGTGATCCATAGTAGACTGCGATACACGTTTCAGGGGCTCCTTTTGATTAAAACCAAAGCTTGGGGCTTGGTCCTGGCCTTCCTCGACATCCCAGATAAAGTTTTGGATATAATGGCCATGTTTTGGTGAATCCAGCCTGGCTCCTCTGAGGACTTCTTGAACCAGTGATACCGTCGCTGGGCAAGAGTAAACGGTGATCAAAAGCCACATGGAAAAGGCAAATGGTATCCAAGGCATAATTTCTAGTAGCGATACACGACTTGTGAACACTATCATTACCAAGAATAAGCTGGCTGTCGGCAATACCACAGGGCCAAACCTATCAAGAAAAAGTCAGAAAATAATTCTTGTATTGGGGGGCCCTTTACGGAGTACTTTTTAATTTCTTCAGGATGTGACCGAACGACAGCTACCATGAGAGCGACAGTGCAAAGAATATTGCTAGAGCCGTGTTAGTATATGGTCAATTGATAAAATATTTCGATTCACTTACATAAGCCAAGCAATGAGGGAAGATTCATGAAGAATGGGAGAAGCTATCGAGAGAAACATCATAGTGTACAAGTACATCGTTCTAAGTTTCTCAGACTTTTTGTCTTCATTGACATCGTGTCGGACAGGTCTGCGCTCTTGCGTCGGTGTGACAAGTAGATTAAATTTGGCAGTCATGATTAATTTGATGTTGTTTGAAGTATACAATAAATGAAAAGATTCAATAACGCAAATCAGGTTAAATTCTTTACATACAGTTGAGATCGAAAATCGAACAATAAGAAAGAGCAAGTAGATAGAGTGGATCTGGAGAAGCCTTTTATTCCCCGCGAAATCAGAATACTCGACCATAGACATAACATCTCAGAGTGGGGGTAGGCTGATTTCAGGCATGAATGCATCTAGACTAGACCTTCTATTCGGTGTGAAGAAACTGAGATAGAAGGTTTGTCTTGGTTCGCAAAATCAGCCTCGCTTACTGACAATCGTGGATGTTCGTAATGATAGGCTGACGATCAAGATTCGGTGACCAGTTTCGGATGACTGCAGGTTGGGTATCAGCCTTGCCGAAAGCCTATAGTACCCTTGGAGCCCAATGGCTTGGAATCGGGATATCTCGTATGGTTGACAAATGTTAATACTCTCCAGTTGCAGGCATTTCGGTCAGCGCATTTGTCAAATACACCATGACGAGGATATTTTACTAGACTCTTGATTCGAAGATTTCAAGGATCCTCCGCCCGATGGGCGCCAATGACTTTGTTAAGGCTACGATCTGATCACAGATATATTTGTACTTGGGTATCGCTTTTCAGTCTTGAGTAGATAAAGATGTTCAAAATCAGCCGTCCTTGAACAAAAAGCTATAAGGATTTTAAATCAGAACAATTACTGATAATATGGCTATAAATGACATCGAAAGTGAAAGTTCCTACCGGCTATTCAAATGTCGTTCTGGAGTATGTCGAGCGTCAAAAATAAGACCAACAGACGAACAACCACTCCCTGAATACCTTTCTGCATATTATCCAGTCCGCGACTTGGGAGCGATCTTCGAACCATTGATTGCAATGATATCTGCAACAGTGACTACAAGATATACTCTTTATCATGAGAAAGAACGAGTTCGCACCCCCAAATCTAGACCTAGATCACGGCTAACATTCAACCGCAGATGAACTCGAATACTAAACCTATGGGCTATACCTTCAATTCGGGAAGTCTTGGTTTAATGTTGGATCCGTATGCATTATCCTTACTCGCATCGTGTATCCTTCTGGGTTGTTCGATTTCTTCGTTCACGCATCGACGCCAGGGGCAAGATAGATGCCAGTCGCTTATTCTTGTATTCGCCATTTTAACGGCCACCACAATAGGTTTTGGATTGGGAATAAATTCAAATCTCATAATGCTAGGATTTGTTCCTTGGGCACTGATACTCGCAATGATTCTCAGTGTCTTCGTTCATTGGACTGTCAGACGTCATCGTAGATCTCGAAACTGTCCTGGAGTGTTCTTCCTTGAAAGAATTGGAAAAAGCGTAATGACTTCAAGGCTTGGAGAGACCCAGGGCTACTAAGATCACACGATGGTGCTTAAGTGGGTGCCCCCGTGTAGCAATAGCAACGTAAAGGTGACCTTGTTGACATGGCATTCTATAGATACGATTATAGATCTTGATTTGGTGCAAGATCTACCACTTGGTGCGATCAAATCACACAAGAACAGGCAAAGAGAGGTTACCTGAAAGTGGCTTATACTTCGAGAACCACCACACGAGAGCGTTGAATCACCATCTTTCTGTACTGTATAACATTGCTGCATACTTGTCTTACCGAGCCAATTATTGAAAGATTCCGATGCGCTATCATGGGTCGGTACACCATATATTTGAAGCAAGAGCATCAGTATCATTTGAAAGTTTGCTTGGTGGGGAATATTGGTGGAAGGTCTCAGAGCATGGATAGCTAGCGATTCCATACTCATACTGTAAAGATGTCAAGACATCTCACGATGAAGAAGCTAGAGCTGCAAGATCTATGTTTGAACGCAGATTTCGGCAGGAATTGTCGAGATAGACTGCTGATTTGCGACAAGCTGTTAATTATTGAAGCTGTGGGCTATCTATACTTCCAATTCATTGCTGTTACATGAAGGAACGAGCCACCAAGAATCTTCTAGTTCCATGTTGTTTTGAAATTGGAAGATGTAAGGGCTAATCATCTTAGGAAAGGTCTAAATCGTTATAAGTGCCGAAAAATTGCAGAGAATGCACATATATGGAGATTAGTATACATATAAGCTTCAGGGAAATGCAAGTGGCATAACCAGCCCAATCCGAAAGGCGAATATGAGTAGCCAAAGCAAGCAATTACGCAGAATTTCTCGGCCTGGGTATATTAATCGTGAGAGGCTCGGAGGCTCCAGTTAACTGATGCTGGAATCAGTGATGCAAGTGAAGAATGGAAGCGAAAAGGGTTATTGAGTCCGAGGGGAATTCATGAGGACGAGGATACCAGATAGAATTGAGGAAAATATGAGATTTTAAAGAGAAAATATCAGCACGAAAGATTACAATTCCACCTGTATATAGAGCCATGAAAATATCGAACAAGAAAGAATTTAACCCAAGGTATATGAAGTCATAAATAAAACAAAAAGACACGAAAAGGATAGAAGGGTCCGATGAATTCAGACCCCTGAGTGAGAAGACATAAGCTGAGGAGAGTCTCTGCACTCTTGAACCGATGAGCATTCAAGGTTTGGGACACTACGTGTCATGTGGGCCTCAACGTCCTGTTTAGGATGATTATTGGTAACAATTCCATGCAGCTTTGTGGATGGCAGATACTATTCGTTATATTGATGTTCCAAGCCCCCAGGGAATGAGTGCAAGTCGTGTTGCCACACAGTCTTGAATCCTTGACACCATGCCGGTAGGAAACTGTACATACAAGAATTGGACAAGGGTACCGAGTACGCTTCGAAGGTTAGAACAAAGACAAAAGAAGAATTCATGAGAGAAACAGGTGCTTACAGAAGCAACCAAACGCTTGAGGGTATATTATAATTCTATTTATGACTCCGAAGCAATCTTCAATTTCTCCAATGTTTCTTCCGTGCTTGATCCAACGGTGACTTTTTGGGCATCTTTTCCTTCAACATGTCCATCTGGCTGTGCAACGACATTTTTCCTTGCTGCTAACGCCGCGGCTTTTCTTGCTGGATCAATTTCTTTCTTTGCCTTCTTGACCTTGACTGGACCTGGTACAGAGTTAGCTCAAGTATCTATACGAGAAAGAGACTAATACAAACCTTGTTCTGGAGGGTAAGCTTGTACTTCGATTGCTTGCCATTCTGGAGATGCTTCGAATTCCTCTCTAATTGGTTTTAAAATATCGTTGAGGTGGGCGGTGAGACTTTGTTTAATAAGTTGAGGGGTGAGCTGCGCTTGATATCAGTGACTGGCCAACAAGAACTGTGCCCACAAGTCTACTCACAATATCTGCTATGTAATCTTCCTTCAACTTCTCCACAGACTCGTAGATCAACGGCTCCTGATCTCTTCTCTCAACAACAAATCTTGAAGTGCCTCCGTTCTTCAGAGCGAGAGCGCGGAAAATAACATGCTCGACGAAAGCGATGACACCATTACCTTCAACTTCCTTTGGCGTGCACTTAGCCTTCTTTAATTTCTTCTCAACAGCCTCTGGGCCATCGATCAGGTCAATCTTCGAGTCCGCATCACTAGAGCTCATCTTCGCAGCCTCTCCTAGACCAGGAACCATTGTGTTCATTAAATGTGCTCTGACTTTGTAATTAATCTTTGGCAGATTTTCCTTTGCGAAGGTGAAGATTTTCCTTTGATCAACACCACCGAATTGTGCATCAACGTCGAGATATTGTTCGTCTAGAGCCTGCATGAGAGGGTAAATTAAGCCACCAAGTGTTGGATCATCCGTTTGCTTAACGACTTCGGCACCAGCCTTTTGGGCGACGTTAATTCTGGTGATACCCTCCAACTTAAATCGGTCCATTGTATATTCCTTGTCAAGTTGGTAGGAGCTTCCTAGCACAAATTCCAGACGACTCAAATCAACGCCAACCGCTCTCAAAGCTGATTTGATTACTCGTTCGTAGTACTTGGCGCGGTATTCGACGAGTTCGAGAGGTGCTTTCATATTGTCCAAGTAACCGTGGATATCTGCGAGGAGAACCTTAACATTACAACCCGCCCTCAGTAACTCTGCTATCTTAATCATTGGTACGAAGTATCCACAATGAGGTCTGCCAGTCGTTGCAGTTCCCCAGTAAACTTTGAGAGGACGCTTCTCCTTGAGGATGACATTGTCGATAATATCTCCGTCGAGAACCTCGGCAAGGTTTGCCTTGATCAAGACAATTGATTCCTCTGGACTCATGCCGGAAGCCATGTTGTGACGTTGCTGAAAGTAAATTGTTGAAAAGTAAATAGACGCGAGACTCAAGAAGGGGATACTTTGACTCATCTTCGGCGGGGGATAATTTTGGCGGGGTACCGACCATATCACGTGTATATATTATGTAAGCTAACCTTCCTTGAGACTGCTGTTAGCAACAAATAGATTCAAAGAAGGAAGCAGTTCGTGTATCAACACCTCATCTATGAAGCCCTTCTACGATCTTCTCTTCGCCCTGCACTCTAAATAATTTCTCAGCCAGATCCGATTGTAGATTACATACAATTATTTGCCAAGGTGTGAGGGCTTATGGCATATTTTCTTTCTTCATCCTTCCTCCAATTATGTTATATCTTCTAGAATGGCATTATCTACTACACAGTCTTGTAAAGGTGATAGAATATGATCTTGTCCGTGGACTCAGAGATAGTACTATTTCCTACCGAGAAAACGATGAAACATTTCAGCAATCGAATGACTTAATTTTTGTATTTGATTGCAAGCAAGCTTTACCCTTGATGCTCTAACTTTATCACGCAAAAATCCAATAAATGTCGAGAGCGCGACGTGGGAAAGACATAGTCGACAGCAAGTATGGAACTAAACTGAACCTTTAAGGCGAGGGGGCGCCTGAACGATGAGCGAGATTGAAGCGAAGCGAAATCAGAGCTTGACATCCATAATTTCATAGCACCAGAGATGCTTCCTGGATTATATTGCAGTCTTGGAACAAAAAAAGCCATGGATGTGTGACCTCAACTTCAGTCGTACACTATTAGTGATATCACAAAAACACGCGTGCGAAGTAGAAAGTAGATTGAAGTAGATTGATGGAGAAACCTGATGTCCCAAAGATGATAGCCTCGATCAAATGGTATTACAGCCAAAACTCGACGGATTCGGGCTGTAGCATGGAACGAATTTTTTATTAAGGATTGTGTGCAAGGACAGCAGTGCTTTTGCTTTTGTCAGATCCGAAACAATCATACAGCCTCAGCCAGCTCCTCTATTTTCCTTTCTTGACCCAGTCCTCTACCTTTTCTCTTCCTTCGGTGACCTTGCCATCGACTATTGAGATTGCTTGCTTTGAATGCACCCGTGCCATTCTCCATGCGTTCTCTATGCTCTCCCTTGTCCTGATATGTGTGTCCGCAACCACTGGAAATCTTCTCTCATATTCCCATGCCAAATTGGCAACATTTCTCATCGTTACTGGAAGAACAACCCATCCTGCTCCAATTCCGACTGCGAATGGCACAGCAGCTCTCAGCACGATGTTTCTGTTTCGTGATATAATTGAACCAGTCATAGCAGCAACCAAAACGTAGATAGCTCCGGGCATTAACTTCTCCCCAGATTGTTGGGATGGTGCAAGTGAAGCAATTGTAGATGTGAAACTGGATTCAAGGTTGAGGGCAGAGTCCATCATGGAGTTCAATTTGTTTTCGGCAGCGACGACATGTGCATAGAGAAATAATCGACTCTTTCCTATTTGTACAGCGAGCCTGTCGGTAGGAGTTGGACCAGTGTGTTTCCTTGATATTTCCTCCGACGCGGGGCTTGGAGATTTGGATGATGGGAGAGTTGGAGCGGATGTGGGAGGGAGCTCCTCGAAGTCATCATAGATGGGTTTTCTTCCCTATAATCATGCGATGGTTAGTGAAAGAAATGTGAGTGGGTTTAAACGCTGTTCCGTACATCTGGTGCTTCGGCATGTAATGCTCTCTGAGGATAGAGAGCCATTCCGATTAAGGCTGCGCCAGTTGCTACAGGCGCAATGCGCTTCGAGTTGTTAGCTAAGTATAATTTTGCGTATTTGATTATACTGACCTGCCGCAGGAATACTCTGGAAGCCATTGCTCAATTGACTTGATCCTACAATTGATATGTATTGGGATCGAATTCCGCGGTCGTTAAAGCTTCGTTAACTTCAAGGTTCCGTTCGTGTGATTTTTTATGCAAACATGCTGACGTAATTATTCTCATCCAATGTATGTGCATAATTTATGAAGCTACCAAGGTACCTACCTACCCAAGTACTATTCTCCGCATTACATACTATGTTATCGTCTTCCAATAACCAACTTTCGTGCCATTGACAGTTCGGATGAACGTGCCCTGGAGTATGTTGAAAGCAACTACGCCCAGGCCGTGGGTTTGTTCTCGGTGCGTTAGGAGACAAATTCAATCACGCCGAAGACTTGCAACAGCTTCTTCACAATACCGCGAATCTCGACCTGTACCTGTCGACAACTCTGCTCCAGGCGCAAAACATGATGACAGAACGCTACGGCAGATCTTTGACTCCCCAAATTTTTGGGCTGAATTCTCCCAATCCTCGAAACAAAGTTACAATAGACCGGCTGTTGGACTTTTTCAGAATCGGTACCTTGTCAACCCCCAAGGTTTCGAAATTTTTGCGAACACAAGTTTGCGAAAGGCACAAAGAATTGTGGATAAAGTCTTGAAGGCTTCGACAATTGAAGAATACAGACATGTTGCTAGAGAACTAGATCGTCTTAGTGACCTGTTGTGCCGAGTCATCGACTTGTCGGATTTTGTTCGAGCTACACATCCGAATGCAGCCATACAAGCAGCTGCATCAAGAGCCTACGCAAAAATGTTTGAATACATGAACATCTTGAATACAACCACTGGGCTGGATAAGCAACTTGAGATCGCCATGGGAACACCAGAGATTGTAGCAGGGTGGACAGAGGAAGAAGTGGTGGTCGCAGATATTCTAAGGAAAGACTTTGCAAAGTCAGCCATTGATCTACCTCGGGCCCAGCGAGAAAGGTTTGTAGCTCTCTCGCAACAAATTAGTGAAATTGGTCCTGAATTTGTTGATTATATGACACCCGCAAAACCTTACTTGACTTTTGAAAGTAGTAAGTTGAAGGGAATGGATCCAGTACTGGTGAGGCAATACACGACATGGGGACAGACTAAAATTCCAACCATTGGTGGTGCAGCAGCAGCAGCTATTAGATCAGTCCAGAATGAAGAAGTTAGAAAAGAGATATTCATGGCTACTCGCACAGCTTCGAGAAATACAGTATACAAACTGGAGGAGCTCATGCGTAAAAGAGCAGAGCTGGCCAAACTCTCTAGGTACGAAAGTTATTCTCACCTAGCCCTAGGAGACAAAATGGCCAAAAGTCCAGCATCTGTATCACAATTCTTGGAAGCACTGGCAAAGGATAACAATCAGATTGTAAAAGGAGAAGTTTCCGAGCTCCTCAAGTTTAAGATTTCGAACTCGCATGGCTCTTCTCCAGGTTTGCAGCCATGGGATAAAGATTATTACATGTCACAGATTTTGGCTTCGGTGCGTTCGCACTCTCGCAATTCCGATTTTCTTTCAGCATATTTCTCGCTTGGTACAGTCATGCAAGGACTTTCTAGGCTATTTACACGTCTCTACGGTGTTAGACTTGCTCCACATGAGACAATGCCAGGAGAAACATGGAACTCAGACGTTCGAAGACTAGACGTAATCTCTGAAACCGATGGTCACGTTGCTGTACTTTACTGTGATCTGTTTTCCCGTCCCGGAAAGTCCCCGAATCCCGCGCACTTCACCCTTCGCTGTTCTCGAGAGATTACAACGCCTGAGCTCGAAGAAGCTTCATCATTGTCTCAAAATGGCTTGTTCGAAACTGACGAAGAAGCTGCTAATGATGGTATGGCCACCTCAAGAGCTTCGGGAGTCCTCAAGCAATTGCCAACCATAGCCCTCATTTGTGATTTCGTCACAATGTCCGGAAAGTCATCCCGCCCTGCACTTCTCAGTTTTAATGAGGTGCAAACTCTCTTCCACGAGATGGGCCATGCCATTCATTCCATTCTCGGGCGAACATCTCTTCAAAATGTTTCAGGAACTCGTTGCGCAACCGACTTCGCAGAGTTGCCTTCAGTTCTCATGGAACATTTCGCAGCAGACCCATCTGTTCTTTCTTTATTCGCGCGCCATTATGAAACCGACCAACCCCTTCCATATGAAATGGTAGCTGAAAAACTAGCATTAGACAAACGTTTCGAGGGCTCTGATACTGAAAATCAAATTATCCTCTCTATGCTCGATTTAGCATACCATTCTGACCTCCCTCTCTCTCCGTCTTTCAACTCGACAGCAATATATCATTCTCTCCAAGAAAAACACGGTGCTCTCCCAGTTGATCCCCCCGGAACATGCTGGCAGGGTTTCTTCGGACATCTCTTCGGATACGGTAGTACGTACTATAGTTATCTTTTCGACCGGGTCCTCGCAAGGAGAATCTGGCAAGTGGTATTCAAGGACGGAGAAGACGGCGGTAGCACCCACAGAGACAATGGCGAGAAGATGAAAGAAGAAGTTTTGAAATGGGGTGGAGGAAGAGATCCTTGGAAATGCTTGGCGGGTGTACTAAATGATGGTAGAGTAGAGAATGGTGATGAAAAAGCCATGGCGATTGTGGGTAGTTGGGGTGTGAAGGAATGAAGAGATCAACTCGTGCAGAGATGGACCTTAACGAATAGCTTGTTTATATATGTATATACCCTTGAGCTTAGTTCTGATGATTTTGACGAAATTCATCTTGCATACGAAAACCCTGTTTGTTCAACATTATCAATTCGCCCATCTATGTGGCTTTCGATGTGAAAATACATGTGGAATACATGGACGTATGGATAGTAAACCACAATTTCTAAGTAGAAGGATTGAAACACAGCTCCTGGATATGGACCGACTGCTGCGGATGTTTAAGACAACTTGTGAGACACAGAGTTGAAGAAACCAGTCGGCCGCTAGAAGAGCCTATTAGTTCACGACTCCTCGGGTTACAAAGTATTGACACGAAACAGATTAATCAAGGGTTTGAATTAACATATTCAGGGTTCTAAAATTGGAGTTTCTGTGAGAGGATTCAGAGGATAAAGCCCGAGTCTATTGTGTTACATCACATTAAAGATCGACTGACTTAATCATGAATTTATTAATACTGTTACATTATACTTTTGAGAGTAGAGGAAAGCTAATTATCTAATAATACTCATGTTTATACATTCTCCAAGAGAATACCAACGAGTCCTAGCCACTCTCGGTCACATCCTCAGTCCCGTTGTCGATGGTCCAAGGATTTCCAATATGTATAACCAGCCTTTTTCTATGTTCCCATTCCTACATAAGAAGTTGTCCTCCCCGTCTCTGGTTCGCCTCTAGAATTGGCGTCTTTGGTGATCCGTTGTACGGTGTCTGATAGTACTATTCAGAATGAATGAAAGAAAACTAATCGTCAATACCAATCCAACAATATGAATACTCCCATTCTAGTTTAGACATTGGAAAATCTGGTTGTCAGACTGCAATCCTAGTCATCTTGACAAATAGTCCTGAAATCCGGAAAATCATCCTCGGACACAGTTTTCGTAATTGAACAGACGACTCCTTTCTCCTGAAAGAGTCGCTTGACAGGCTCCAAGATCTTATCCCGTTCTAATGTATAACTATTCCAAGAGAGCGAATCTCTAGGCGCAATCAGTTCTACTTTTTCAAGAAATCTCATTGATGTGGGTAATGTGTTTGCAAAACTTGTGACTTCGTCTGACCAAGTCTGCTTTCGAACGGAGTAGGCACCTGGGTACAGTTCTGATGTATGTCCTGGTTCACATACTAGTCCTAGATACGTCAACGATTGTGGAAGTAAATCCTCCATATGGTGTTTAATTGGTTCTCTTGGCGATCGACCACTGAATACAATCGGATCGATTGTTAGCGAAGTCATTTTTGGGAAATCTGACAAGTCACCCAGAAACAATGGTTTCTCCTTTGCGTTTGATTCGTCGCCTGGTTTCCGAAGAGGTCCAAAACAAGCGCCTTTGTGAAATCTTAAATCAAGTTCTTTCAAACTGCCCCTATGTTGGTCCAGTATCATCCGAATGTTTTTGCTCTCCAAATCCAGTGTTCTATCATCATTTGATACGCTCGAGGGAAACGCGTATGTCCATCTGAATCTCACAAGCTTCTTCAAAGTCGAAACAAGTTTAAAAAACCCTAGAGAATGATACGTAACTGCGATCAAGCGAAAAATCGGTAATCGCAGAATACTTGACCGGTTGTGCCTCTAATGGTGATTTATCCTTACTTCTTTTGTCCCACCTCTGTTGGTCCACTTCGCTACTCATAAGATGTGATGTGTACACAGATCTCATGTTTGGCAAATCCCAAACCTCAAAAGTAATGATGACCTGGTAATGCTGAACTTGGTATTGTTAACAACCCTCGGGAAATATATACCGTTCGAAGGTTTTGGAAATAATCAGCTGAAAGCGAAGGTCCAGGATGCGCACCCAATTCATAAACTCGATTCATTGATGTAATATGAAGTTTTTCGATATTGGGGAGATGCTGTATTATAAGATTTAAAAACCGCTAGAGCGAAATTCTCGAACCCATGGGATTCAACTAGTGATGCACCTGTGCCCATGCGAAAAACCAAACTATACTCAGACAGGCCGTTTGTCCAATTATCTAAATACCTTAAGACCCAGGGCTGTAGTCTACCATTCTTTAAGACATTCAAATCATCTTTGTGGCTCTTTTTCCACGCCTCAAACTGTTTAGCTGAAACGGCGGACCGAAGGTCTCTATCCCAGTCTTTCGTATCTGGTGGCTCAGATTCACGGAGATCCAATAATTTCACTGAAGCAACAGACTGTGGAAATTCTATAGCAGTTCGAAGAAAACACCATAGACCATATCCCGAGTGCTTATACTTGTCAAAGCTCCAGGACTCATATACAAGCGGCATAGCGTGTTTGTACAGAATCCTCGAAGTTTTTCCAAACCGCACTCGATCGCCAACTCTTACAAGATGTAATAGGATTCGAGTAATTACTTCTCGTGGTAGTCCTCCAAGAACATTCTTACGTCTTTTTGGACCCATTGTATTAATGTCATATTCCGCCGAATCAACTTCCTCCTCTTTTGTTAGCACATCTTCGAAAACAGGTTTAGATGGACCAGGCTCACGTCAGATTCTGCAGCGACTCTCCTTAAAAGAATCGTTTATGACAGCTTGTAGCGATAGAACTGTGGGGTAGCCTTGGTGTTTGAAACAGATTGACCATTAATCATCTGTATTAAGTTAGATTTCAAGTTTGTGTAATTGTCTGAAATGAAAGATCTCATGTGAATTTAATGAATCATTGTAAGTGCTATCTAATGGGAGAACTAAATAAACACATGTTAAGTGTGTAGTTCTTTCTACATTGAATGTGATACTTCGATGACGACCCGCTGCTTCCTTCGCTTCCACTAACCTAACGCCAATTGCTCGGCACAATAAATGACAGAATTACCGTGAATAGTCACGTGAAAGAGTAGGAAAATACAATTCTGTCCCAAGGTACTCAACTCGAGAACAAACAGAAACACAAATCATGGGACGAGATGCATTCACAAAGGCCATTGCACTATCATTAGCCGTCTACACTTTCCTTCTACAATCTCCGATATGTTCGAGATCTCATTAAAATTGATGATTGTAGATCGAAAAGTGGTCTCTATTGCATGTTTCGGTAAGAACCACACAAATACTGGATGCTTATTGGAAGGATTGAGCATGCAGCCAATTCGAGTGTGCAGGAATGCGATTACAAGAGCTGAACAACGCAACTTGCTTATGAACAATATTGTTACACATAGTTGTCGATCTTTCGATTCGTAGCTGTGCATGAAGTCATGTAGTGCGGTGACGAAATTTCCGCTTTATGGGGAGCTTTCATTGGTTGGTGATATGTCTAGAAGGGGATCTAAGATTGTGGGGATGTAGATGAGGGCTCTTTATATCCTCATCCCCCGCGCAGAAGAACTTTCTGCTTTTCATCTTTCAGTGAAATGCTACATTGGTCAAAATGAAAGTCTTCACTGTTTTATCTGGTCTGCTGTCTCAAGTCAACCCATTGATATGCCTGTGTGCCATTGCTGTATACACATTCACTTTGGTTATATATAGACTATATTTCAGTCCTTTGGCTAAATTTCCTGGTCCAAAGTTGACAGCTGCGACTGAATGGTATGAAATATACTATCAGCTTGTGAAAGGTGGACAGTTCTTTCGAAAACTTCCTGAATGGCATGAAAAATATGGTTCGTCTCGAGATCTAATTTCCTTCCTATACTAATAATTGAAAGGCCCAATTGTTCGCATCAATCCTACGGAGCTCCATATCAGTGATCCTGAGTTCTATGACACAATATATACTACCGATAGACGCGACAAGCTGCCTCTTCACTCCTCTCTTCCTACCGTCCCGTTATCTGGTCAATCCACCCTAGATCACTTCCTTCATCGAAAACGACGCGCCGCGCTCAATCCTTTTTTCTCTAAACCTAACATTCAAAAATTTGTTCCATTCATCCAATCCCGTGTCGACACTTTGGTTAATCGTATTAATACCGAATACAAAGGAACCAATAAGATTCTTGATCTTGGAGATGTTTTCTCTTGTTATACGACAGATGTGGTGATGGAATGTAGTTTTGGTACTAACTATAATTTTTGCGAAAAAGGAGAGTTTACCTCGGATTTTATGGTGGCTGTCGCCGGTATGTTATCTATAGTGCACTGGACAGAGCATTTTCCAAGTATAGCATGGTTGATGAACATGGTCCTTGCTTTGCCATACAGCGTGCTGAAGAAGATTGTGCCGCAAAAATCAATGCCTGTTTTGGAGTGGCTCGAGGTGATTTATGTAATCGTTTTAAGAAGATATTGATACTGATGTTTGAATAGGACCTTAGACATGAATTGAGAGCAGTGATGTATGGAACCAAGGAGAAGAACGATGCCTCACGGCCAAACATATTTCACGAGATCATAGAATCTAATCTTCCTCTTGAAGAGAAAACAGAGCAGAGGCTTCATCAAGAGGCACAAGTAGTGGTCGGTGCCGGTGTTGAAACAACAAAGTGGACGCTAGCAGTTGCAATGTTCCATCTCCTTGACAAACCGGACCTTCTTTCTAAACTACAAGCTGAAATACTTGAAGTCTTTCCAGATCCCTCCTCTCCGCCTTCACTAACAACCCTTGAAAAACTGCCCTATTTAATTGCAGTCTGTCAAGAAGGTATTGTAAATACCGAATCCGATGTCCATCACGAGTAATTTCTGACACGATTGGTTTGAATAGCAATTCGTCTTTCCATGGGACCGGTTCAACACCTTCCGCGACTAGCACACAAACCTCTCCCATATACAGACCCAGAAACAGGACACACTTACACAATTCCCGCTGGCACTCCACTATCCTGTGCTACACCAATCATTCATTACAACGAAGCACTCTTCCCATCCTCTCATTCTTTCATCCCCGAAAGATGGCTCCCAGATCCCATCACTGGTCTACCGCCCAAAGTCACAATACCTTCTTCAGGAGAAGAAAAACCACTCACAAAATATCTTGTCAGTTTCTCGAAAGGGAGTAGACAATGTTTAGGAATGAATCTAGCTTATGCGGAGTTATATATTGCACTTGCAAGTTTTGTCCGAAGATGCGAGTTTGAGTTGTGGGAAACGAATCAGGAAGCGGTGGAGATTTGGTCGGAATATCTCATCAATGTTCCTAAACCGGGTACTGGAATTAGAGTGAAAGTTCTTTAATAGAATGGGAAGGGATTGTGTGAAAAGCGGTGGATGTTAATTATGTGCATGTGGAATGTTGGAACGTTGACAATTGGCGGTGGTTGCTATGTATGGTCCACGATTCTTCTGAACTGCCACATGGTATCGGTCAGACAACCTGAATTTACAACTTGAACCTACTTCAGGATTCTATAATGTAGATTTACGATCCATGAATCCAAAATTCTTCGTGCGCTTTCCACACATATCACTTTCGACAACGAAAAAGACCTCACAGTTTGCTGTTCCACCTGAATTGTCAGATCACTGAAGCGATTGTAGCTAAAGAAACAGCCATGATCATCGAGATAGATGTGCTTGACAAGAGACTAGTAACTCATCAATCTCATTGGTTGAATCTCCTGCAATACTCGCGTACTCTCAACACACGACCAGTGATGCCTCCATCACATTTTGCTCCATTCAAAGTACAAATCACACATGATCGCGTAGAAAATTGCACAAAACCACATCAAACCCAATCAACCATGACTCACCAAAACATCATTCCTCTAGTTCTAAAGTCGACTATCAATCCAAGATTCACACACACCAAAAATAAAGGGGTTTTAATAACCCGATACATTATTGATAATGCTGATTAATGCCATATCTGAGCTTTCTGATCACAGAAATAGCGCATGCTCCAACCGGACTCCTCGAAGTATGATTATCGCATTACGAAGCGACTGACCGTCGTCCAATCTCCTATCCTCAATTACCGATTTCGACTCGCTTGTATTTCCAATCACTATTAATTACCAAACTCCATTTTCCATGTCCCCATCTATCTATCCCAAATTCCAATCCATTCCTTTCCTTTCCTTTCCTTTCCTTCCAATCCATTCCTTTCCTTCCATTCCCTCCCTCCCATCGCATCTTAACACAAAGCCAACAATCCTCCAAACGCTACCCCCAACGCCATCACCGCCTGTTTTCCCGCGCTTATCCCCCTCCCCTCTCCTGCATCTCCTTTCTGACTCCCTTTCTGCAAATACACCGACAGTGTCCACGATCCGCCACATATCTGGCTCGTGTTTCCTTTACATGGGAGATCGCATTTTGCGTCATCGACTTTGGAGGCGAGGGCGGAGAGATATTGTGCGCAGTAGCATTCTCTTTGGAGGTATTAGTTTATATCTTGTGATGTGGTCATATGCTATTTTCGTATTGGGAGGGGAGGGGGGGTCGTCGCAAATAAAATCAAAGAGAAAAATAGCACAAACCAACCTCGTATATTCAATCCCCGCATACGCATAGCCGTTTGATTTGCAAAATGCCATACACAGCGGTACCGTCATCACATCGAGCGCTTCCGTGACGCCTCCGTTGAGAGAGCGTAATCCGCCCGTGGTATTCGTGTGGAGGGTTTCGGTGTAGCAGCCGAGATAGGTGTATGAGGATGCGCTGGGGATGATGGTGGCTATGGTTGTGGAGGGAGAGGATGCGGGGGTGGTGGATGTTTGGGCGAGGGTGAGGGTGGTGAGGGCGAGGATGAGGGCGAGGAGGGAGAGTGCTGGAGTCATTTCGTTGGTGGTATTGTATTGCATTGGTTTGATTGATTGGTTTCTTTTTTCTTCTTTTGGGGGAAGAGGTATGTTTGTATGTATGTATGTATGTATGTATGTATGTAGTACACAAAATAACACAACAATATCCCAAAGCGAACGGACAGCAACGATAACTCGAAGCAAAGCAGAGTCAATAATATAATATCAGAAGAAAAACACTCAACAAGATGCAAACCAAACCAAACAGAAGAAAGAGAAATATATCAACCCTAGCAATTAAATCACAGCACAGCATTTCTTTAAACTTCCCCATCCCGATTCCATTTTCTGGCATGGCAAGCTACAAACAATGTGGAAAGTGTGGCCGAGACTTTCTGTTCAGCGCGGGAGATCGACGGCTGGGTGCTTGATTTATTTATTAAACTCTATGCGAATTGGGAGTTTAGTGAGGGCTTGGGCTTATCGATAGTGGGGTATGATGGCGAGGTTTTGGGGTTTCAGGGATGGATGATGGGTGATGGGTGATGGGTGATGAAGTGCGGGATGGGATGGATGGATGATAGGAGGGCTGGGTGATGAGTTTTAATATAATGATGATGATGATGATGATGATGATGATGATGATGATGATGATGATGATGATGATGATGATGATGATGATGATGATGATGATGATGATGATGATGATGATGATGATGATGATGATGATGATGATGATGATGATGATGATGATGATGATGATGATGATGATGATGATGATGATGATGATGATGATGATGATGATGATGATGATGATGGTGATATCGTAGGATTCTTGTGAATTGGATGGAGATGTTAATCACATTCCGAAGAGTTTTCACATAATTTTATATTCCAGTACCTAGCTCCCTGCTGTAGGACCCAAACACGGAGAGAAATCTCTTCAACCCTGAATACGAAGACGCCATGTGAGCACAGAGAATCCGAGCGTACGACCATATATATCCAATATCTTTGTAATTCCCCCAATGCGCGATGCGTGGATGTATTTTGGGATGTTTGCTAGGGAATTCGTGGATTCTATTTATATTAAGCTGGTGGTAATTATAATTTATGAGTTCCCCTGGATTTTGCTGTATTGGGATGGGGTAGAAGAGCGGATTGGGAGAATTGAGGATGGGTTGAATTGTTGATATGGTGTATGTTTTAGACGGGTTAGGTGTTGGCGTTGTTTTTATTGTGGAGTTGAGCTTTTAGATTAGAGGTTTATATTATGATTTAATTTTAGTAGAAAATATCATGTTGACGTGAAGAGTACTCGAGTATATTATATAGGTCTTATGTCACGGGGTGACACTAAGCCCTTTCTGTCCTGTCCTGTCCTGCTATATATGTGAGAGTAAGGTAGAACTTCCAGTTCTACCTCCTAGTCTTTTGGGCGTTTAGCTCAGCGGTAAAGCTTCTGAATACTCCCAGAAGTGATCCCGTGACATCTTAGTATGATTATTATTATTGGTCTTAAGAGTTAGGGCCATCGCTCACCGTACATATAACGCTTTTCTCATTAAAATATAAGATTATTCGCTATTTTATATCCTAATTTATTCATTTTAATAAAAAAATATAATCAAGAATCATATTATAAAAAATATTTAGAGAATTATCAAAATTATCAAAAAAAGCATACCAGTTATTTTTAAATATTTTTATAATAATATTTTTAAAAGATTAAAATTGGAAATTCGAAAAAGTTTGAAAAATTAGTTTATTTTGTACGAGTAACGTGGTTTTATCAGTAATCCGCCCATATTACTAGTCCGCCCACTTTTTTGGTATTTTTAACTCTCTCATTTCAATATACATTTTATTAATAATTATTTATAAAGAATTATTTAACGAAATATAAATAATTTTACTTATTAAAGCTTATTAAATCGATCCGCAATTATCGATTTGGGAAAATAGCAACACTCTATAATATACCTCATCTATTTTAAGGAATAAAATCAAAGATTGTACCAATATAATTGAATATCGATAAAAAATCATAATTTTGATTAAATTAGAAAATAAAGTATTTATTTAATATATAATTAATATAGATAATAAAGGATTTTCATTTAAATTAAATAATATTAAAGATATAACAAATTATATACTCGAAATACAAGGTATAAAAAGGTTGGAAAGCTTTAGACTTATCGATTCGTAAAGTATTATATAGAATTAAAATACATTTTAATTATATTTATATTTTCAAAGAGCTCTCTATAAAGATCCTAAGTTTATTAAAAAATAATTTCGATTAGTTCGAATATACAGATAAAATATAATATTCTTGATTGCGATTTTATAACTTCGATAAAACCGGCTTTATAATGGATATAATATACCCCGGAATGGTGATAATTAATACTGAACAAATAGCAGAAGCAAGGCAATACAACTAGGCAATAGAGAATGGGCTATAGCGATTATATATGGGAATGGGGAGGGTAAGACTATACCACCATTCTTAATAATGCAAGAACAATATTATTTTTCTAATTGATATACAGAAAGTGGTTTTCCCTACAGATTGGGCTATTAAATCTACTTTTAATGGATAAACAAATAATGAGACAGGATTAGAATGGATAAAGCACTTCGACAAGTATATTATTTATTGAATAAAAGGCAAATATCAAATGCTAGTATTAGATAAACACGAAAATCATGAATCGATATCTTTTCAATTATATTGCAAATTATATAACATTATATATTTAAAGTTACCACTGTATTCAAGTTATTTAACTCAATTATTCGATATTGGCTGTTTTAGTATATTGAAATAGATATATAGTTATCAAATTGATACATTTATTAAAGCTTATATCATTATATTATACAGGTTGAATTCTTTATAGCTTTTAAAGCTATATATCAAGATTCAATTATAGTTTAGAATATAAACGCTGATTTTTGAGGAGCAGGTCTAATATTATTTGATCCCCAAGCTATACTCTCAAAATTGGATATTCGAATTTATATATCTATCCTTCTATTTATTGATTTAGACTTTTGAATCTTTTAAACACCTCGTAATTTAATTGAAGCTTTTTTATAATTAACTTTAATAAAATCTTGAATAGCTTATTATTAATCAAGCTCCTCTATACTTATATTCGAGACTGTATTAACTCTAACCAAAAGTATAGAGAAATTAGCTTATAAGAATACACTTTTAAGTGTGTCACGGGATCACTTCTGGGAGTATTCAGAAGCTTTACCGCTGAGCTAAACGCCCAAAAGACTAGGAGGTAGAACTGGAAGTTCTACCTTACTCTCACATATATAGCAGGACAGGACAGGACAGAAAGGGCTTAGTGTCACCCCGTGACAAAGTGCAAAGAATTGTATATTTTGAAAAACAAATAAGGCATTAAGCAAGTGTCGATATATTAAAAAGATTCAACTATATAATGAAAAAGTATTTATTAGATAAGAAACTACAAATATATTTATCACGGTGCAAGGGATAGGTACTAGATTGGATATATAATATTTTATAAAGAGATTGAAAATAATACAATATAACTTTGCTATATAATGGCAAAGATGACTAAACATCCACTACACTAATATATTATACTAATAAACCCATAACAATACCCCCCCCTTTAAAACTTACTTATCCCAAACAAACTGAAAGAAAATATATTATACAAACCACACTTTCTTTTATTGTAATAAACACCTTCACTCCCCAAATTCTTTTACAGCTTTTTGTTTAGAAATCAAAATTACCTTAGTCTCTAGATTTTCCAGTATCTATTTTGGTGGACCTGATTTCTTTAGGTGTAAGTGATGGTAGTGAGCTATAATCTTTTTATTATCCTTAAGATTTGAAGTTGGTGTTACGTAAGCGGACAACAATAGGAGTTGTAGCTTTACACTACGCCACACACGCAATCTGTCCAAAAGGCACAGTATCGGGATTGTTTCCTGATAGCTTACTACTATATATATATCCATATACAGTGGTTGTTAAATTGGGTGTAATGTTTTTATTGATTAAATAATAATATTTATTCTCATTATGATTATCTAAATGGCTTTCGAATACCTACTTCTGGACTGGTTTCTTTTTGTTGTTTTCCCTTTCAAGGATTCTATTCTGTGTAATAACAGTTTCTACTTTATTAATCTGGGATTGTATCGGGAATCGTTTATTGTTATGTGCTGGTAGGAATAAAGAGTGATGAAAGATAGGGAAGATTTGTATAATTCTTAGTACATTGAATAAAACAAGATCGTAAATAAACTTTAATGACTTGTAAGGTCAATCTAGTTATTATCTTAATTTCTTTGTCTTTCGAGAGGTTTTTATATTTTTTGTATTAATGAATACCTTTTATTCTATACAATATTGGGACGAGTCGATTCGATATCGATTTGTATACTCCTTGTATATATCTATAACTTACCTAGCAGTGCTTAAAGGTTGATCCAGAATCCTCTCCATTCTATCCGCTGTTTTATTGCCCTTAAAGGAATTCACGTTTTTTAAGCTAATATCATTTTTGGTAAGCAGAATTTACTTGGCTTTATACCAATACTTAGATTAAAAATTGTAATTAGCAAAGAATGGAGAATATCCTATAGTTTTCAAAACCATATTGTTAAAAGCAAACTTTACCAATAATAACCATTCCATCCAATCATCTTGGTGAAAGTTTAACAAAAGCATATAGGTATTACTCGAGAATTGAATTAATATACTCTATCTGCCCATCTATCTGCAATAAAAAGGCTGAAGAGTGTTTTAAAGTCACTACTAGTCTTTCCAATAATTGCACCTAGAATCCCTGATACGAACTGTATGTCTCGATCTGAGATAATATTATCTAGTATGCCATGAGAATATATATCCGATTAATAAATATATAATCAGTTCTTTTATAATCAAGATTCTATATCAATAAAATAACACATCTTTATCAATCTATATATTATTATTAGAATATGCTTATATATTGAGTTGTAGTATTTAT